TCTCTCTCTCTCTCTCTCACTCGCTCTCTCAGACAACAGACTAGACAGCTAACAGATCGATATGTTTAGATGGGATCTGATAAAGTCACTCAACCTCAACCAATGAAATAATGTTATTAAAGTGATCTTATAGCAGATAAATTTTGAACCCCTTCTTGAAGTCTAGCTTCGGAAAAATGCAAACAAAGAAAACCACCCAATTTATCCAAAATTTTTATATGCTTAGTATATGCTTCCACTATTACACTGTATGAAGTCTATTATATTCTCATGGGCTTACATCCTAGGGCCAAAGCCAGCACCAGCTCCTGTGCTCTTTCAGACGTTATTTAAGACTGCAGCTTTTAATGGGTTAGGGATAAAGAATTAAACTTTGCCCAGGCTTGTCTCACTCTACAGACCACAGAGTAATTAGTCTGCTTTGTACCTTGGTCCCATTACAGCTATCGCAAAAGAACAGTTATTGAGAGAGGGAGGCAGAGGATGAGAGAGAGAGAGAGAAGGAAGACAGGGATAGAGTGCAGGTGTATCACAAATACATGAGTTGCTCTCTGTTAGGCTTCCAAAAGCACTAGAAACAAAGACTGTATGGGAAGTGAACCGTGTATTTTGAAACTTGAACAATATTTATGTACTGCATTAAACTATTTTATTAAAAAAGGAAAATTCAGTTTTTCATTCGTCTTTGAAAGCTTACCTAAATAGATAGGTATAGCTTTGAAAATTGGATTTTAAAGCACATCTCATTGCATTTGTGGTCTGCAGTTTAACAGTTTAATAATACCATTTGCCTCTTATTGATGCTTGTTGTGATTTTTCTTCTGTTTTGTTGAACACTAAGACTGTCATTTTCAGGTTCATTTCACTAGTCTAGGTCAGTTTTCTCAGTATTTACTCAGTAATGGAGCTAGCTCATTTTCTTCACCACAGGCTGCTTCACAACACCAGTAATGAGGCACACAGTGGGGAGAGGGTGGGTTCTTTTTTTATGTTTTCTGAGAGGTTTTGGATCATGCTGTACGACATCTTACTGAGTATTCAGGCGACAACAAGGTTGCATTCCTTCTGACGAAAAAAATCCTGCAAGCTGTACATGAGCCCACAAAAAATCAGTTTGCAAGGTGTGGTAGAAACTAAAATCCGATTTCAAAAACTTACTGGGCCTCCCCCCCATACCAAGCACGTTAAAAAAAATGCTTTTGCAACATGTTATGAAAAAAGATCTAGAAAAAATGAGATTAGAATGTATTTCAGCTGCAGTGTTTGGCCCCAGACTGCTGTTAGCTGGGCACAAGAAAATAAAAAAAAATGATACACTAGGTTTTTGGAGCTGCAAGTTAGTAGACTGCCTCAGTTCAGTTTATACAATGGTTTAAGACTGAGATACCATACACTGCAAGAAAGAAAAATAAATTTGGAAATGCTAGGTAGAGTGATGGTGAAACAGTAGTATATAGAACAGGAATACTTGGTTAACCAGTCCAGGTGCCAGTATTCAAATACTAAATCACTATTTGTGTATTCAACGTACTGCATCACGGGAAGTAAAGGAGATATTATCCAGCCAACAATTCAGCAAAACTCTACTATGTATTGACAGGGTTGTGAAATGCAATAGTAGCCAGGTATCCATATTTTTATGGGTATTTTGACTTATCAAATAAGAAAGATTTGAGGAAATGGTAAATAATGAAAAAATAATAAACAAATGAAAGAAGTCTATACACTGCTTGAGGAAGATATCTTTTGTACAGATAAAAAAGAAATGCGATAAATTGTGATGTAAATGCATTTGTAGAATAAATGATGTATATGTGAATAAAATAGTCATATGACTCATCACGTTTTCATATTTTTTCCCAGCCATAGCTATGAAACATGACAGAATGAGTAATATTAGATTGTAGATGGATATAAGGTTCCTGTTGCAGATTAATGGTAATTTCCTGAGCCATTATATTTGTCAGTGTATTGTTTATCTTCGCCTGTAACAATGCAAAATAAAGTCATAAAATTAAACAAAACAGCAGTGAGAAGTTGCTCGACATTGAAGATTTCTTTGTAGTCTCATATTTGTTTTTCTTATAATTATTTTATGATATTTCAGTTATTCCATTCAATTTAATTTGAACAACTGGATGGAAACCTGATCTGTGTTTCCTGAAAGCATCATTGAGCAACCACTGTGGTAAGAGAGAGTGCTCAAAATGATCTGTCTGTCTATCATTCAACTATGGTAGTAGTTCAATGACACTTTCGGGCAACACACTTCTGGCTAGTTAATCGTATTTATGATTTTTAAACCAGTAATTGATTTTGTTTACACTGTGTAGTATTGTGCCTGACAAACAGCATTTTGGAGAAGGAACACTTTCTAGAAGTGTTTCACTAGTGATAATGTCAACAGGAGATTAAGTGAAAACTACCAGGGGTCTAACGGTGCACTGTGACATCATGAAATCTCGGGGGAAAAATATGAAGAAAGGACATTCCTTTAATTTTGCACCAAATTAATTGAGCGCCAAAACTTTCTCCAGTCCACAACCAATGCCAGCATGTAAATTAGTAAGTTGTTCAACATAAACACTCATCCTCTGTTTTTTACTCAAATTTTGTTCAAAGTTCTTTTAGGAGATTGAACCAGGAGCCTAAGATCGAGAATGAAATGGAATAAAATTGTGGGCCAAATATATTGTTACACCCCTAAAACTACTACAACACACTTTCAGTTTTATTTACAGGTTTTAGGGAGATAACACATGAGCTTCAGTCTCTGAGATTCATGTTTATTTATCCAATAACCATGCATAAGCAATCAGGAAAAATCACACGACTGTGTGGTCTGTTATGCAATACTGTATATGTTTATGAGAGCCTGCAGTACAGGCCATGCTGTATTCATTTAACCCTCAAACTTTACACACATCACTGAATTTGCAATTAGAGAAAATCTCACGGGTGTTTATGTTGGTCTAGGCAGAACAGGGCTCTCTATTAAAAAATAAGTAGTGCAGGGTGGTTTAATCCTTTAAAATTCACAGGCTTATTATGCACTATGGCTTAATATTCAGTAACTACATGACTTCAATGCAAACTGGTTGAACTATTCTTAGGTTATAAAGTGTGTAATAAAACTTAACCCCACCCCTTACATGGCCAGGCAGGCCCTGGCAATGTAAGGGGTTAAAGTGTTTTTTTATTTGTCACCTTGATTCATGTGCCTGTGCAGGATTGTGTTTGCTGAAATGTGAGTGTGTGTAGTAAATGATACAAAATAATCACAGCCAGAATAGCCTGATGAATAACTAATGTGCTCTGGGCTTGAGAGGAGTGCAGTTGGTTTTGATAGCCTGTTTATTCTTCTCTTTTATCTCAGATTCCTCTAGTGCTCCATTTAAACCTCATCTCACTGGATCCCTTGTTGCCAAAAATTACATCTTCGCTGTTTTTACTCTGCGAAATTTTTATAGGGATTTGTCAGCTATGTTTAGCTGTTTGGTAGAGCTGGACAGTATTGATACAATTAAATTTCTTGACATTTTCCAAACATAACATTGTGTTACAGCATCAGAAAACTTTTAAGTGTGCATTAGTTAATATACCCATGCTTTCTGAGTACTGATATTCTATGCCAAAGTAATACCTTACAAGCCTGACATTTTGATTGGTCTGTTTTGTTTTCTTTTGCTCATTTTAAATCAAGTATTGTAAATTTTAACCAGAAAGAAAACTTGCTGTTGTTTATGTATTTTAAACTGTTCTTTGAAAACACTCTGAAGCACACAGCAGATATGATATATTTTCATTTTTGTAATCTATCAATACTGCTTTAACTAAAAATCAGCATTGTTGTGTGACACCAATTCTGGTATTAAGAATGTATCATACAGCACTACTAGTTACTAAAAGTTGTCAACATATGTTAAATATGCACAGGAAGAATGAATTGCTGAAGAAACGGGAATATTCAACAGCAAGAGAGCCCCAGGGCATTAAGATGTGGTTTGCTGATGATACCAAAAATGCCTTAATGGTATACATCAGAATACCAGCACTGACGAAACACGAGGTGCCTTTCTGTGTGTATTCCACAGTCTGATCCTACCCGTGTGTGTTTTTATAGACTAATACTAACTGCCTGTGTTCTGCAGTCTGAGTCTAGCTCTCTGTGTTCTCTAGAGTGAACACATAGCGCAGTCCGTAACCACAAGTTATATTAATTTGTCCTATTACTCATCATCCCCTGAAATGTATAAAGAGGGCCCTGATTCACCAAATGCAGATGAAAATGCCCTTGAATTAAAGCTGATGTTCTGCACCTCTAACATCAGTGTCATTGTTTTATTTCAAATGAGATGCAAAAGTACAGAACCAAAACAACTGAAAAAGTCTCTGTCCAGTCGCTTGTGGACTGCCTTGTAACTGTGCAGTCAGCTTATCTGTGCATGTTCTATAGTTATTCCTAAGGATGTGAAATAGAAGATACTTTAATTTAATTTGGGCAATTCATCATTTATAAATTAATCTCTGGGTTCCTCTGAGACTTGAACATCATCACATAAACTGAATCATTCACAAGTGAAATTAACATTTTTCTCAGCCATGAATAGTTTACAAATGAAATGAATGAAATGATCTTGCATTCAGATGTGACATTTCTCCCTATCTGCTCATCTCTGGAGGGTTTTGTTTATTAGCACACTGTCCCTGGCTCTTATAATCCTCACTGTCACCACTCAGGCTTTGGTTTGAACAGTGTGCTATTTTTAATTTTTCATCAACCAATAGTTTCATTATTTTTTAACTTTCATCAACAGATGCATCCTCTCTTTAGTACTCATGCAGTAATGAATGCACTGTAAGCTACTGTATGAAGGATTTGTTCTGTGACCTCAATACTGAATTATCCTGGCATTAATTGATAGTCGTTTTATAGCAAAGGATGCTGAGTAAATTCATGACTGTGGTAAGAGCCTCTGCTCCTCTCTACTCTTCTACAGCTTTAACCAATGTGAAGTTATGGGCCATCGACAGGCAGTGCTTTCAGACCATCATGATGAGGACCGGACTGATCAAGCATGCAGAATACATGGAGTTTCTAAAAAGGTTAGGAACTTATCCCCTTATCTTATGCTGTGTGGGAATAAACGTCTAATAACTTTTATGTATGTAAGCAGATCTGCAAGCACAATTCTGAGAGAATTGTGTATTGCGTGTTACTGGTAGAGTGTATGTTGTGTGTTTCGGTGCTACAGCTGTCTTGCCAGACCTGTACATCTATGAGGGAGTCCTCCCTGCATCCACTGGAAAGCACCTCCTTCCCTCTTTCTCTTTTTCTTTCTCTCTTTTCATCATCTGACGTCTCCATTTGCATAATAGCACACAGAAAAGAGAGCAAGGGGCATATTTTACATATTAAAGACAGAATTCTGCAGGGTTGGGCTCATGGGCGAAACATTACATGAAAGAAATCTTCATCAAAATATGGCTGCATAATAGAACAGTTCCTTGGAAGCTTTGCTGCTCCACTGGCACAAAGCCTTTGTGCTTCCATCCTCTTTCTACATCTGTCTCTGTCCCTCACTAGCTCCTAATCTCTCCTTCTGCTGCTTAAGGTAATGGTGCGGTATTGTTATTTGTATTAACATTCCTTTTGTCTCTCCAGCCACACAATATTGCCAATAGTTCAATGCGAATACTCTATTGAACCATATCATGTAATATGTTAATCATATAGTATAATGTTTCGCTGAAACATTAATATAATGTTTGTTAGGTAGTGTGTTATTTAGGCATGTATAGACCTGCAGTGGAATAGATTGGTTCCCTACGGACTTGAAGGTCAAATGGCCACTCCTGCTGTGGGATTCTTTAAAAGAGTTATTAGCAGTCTATTAAATTAAAGTTTTAATTGGGCAACCCACCTGGTGTCCTGTTTCTGTTGCTATTTGGCTCTGAAAACGCAGGCTGCAGTTGGTGGAGCCTGTGAGTCATGCACAGATGTTTATTTCCCTCTTGTATTTAAAATATGGAAAGTTCTGTTTAGACATTTGGTACTAATTTGATTTAGTGTAGAAACAACAGCTTCTTTTTTTTTCCTCTTATGTGAGTAAGAAAGGCCAGTGTGTTCCCCTGCTAAATAATCAGATGACCACTTGGTATAAAATGACACAGATAATAAGGGAAGAATAGAAGAACATGCAGAAAAGGATTTGATATCTGTAGATTAGGGAGAAAGAAAGGGTTAAAATTTATGGAGTATGAAATTATGATAAATATGTTCGTACACTGCTGTTCTCTTTCACCTACATAAAAATAAAGAAGATAATTCCACATACATACATACAAGATCGGTGATCACAGACACCATAAAAAATTCATTAAACATTATTAAAATAACCAGCATTAGAATTCATCCAGTATTCACTGGATATGATGATACATTGCTGATGTATATGTGATATTGATGATGTCTTAGATGAGTGCAGACACTGACTAAATACCATCTTACAGGCTAAATACCACGGTTTCCACCATCGTTAGTAGTCGTTAAACTTTTATGTAGTAAATATGAAAGCACTGAGGGATGCAGGTATGGAAAGGTATACTCATAGGTACAGTGGGTGATTACAGGACTTTAACTGTGTATTTTTATATGCCACAACCTTTTATCAAGACTGAGATACCCTTGAAAGTTACTGTGCAGTTTAGCTACAACTAATATCCTAATAAAGCTTTGCTTTGGTGTGTTGAGATTTAATTTTGTAAATCCTCTCTCCTGCAGCGTTCCAACATTCCATGGCCTTCCAGAAGAAATACTAAGCAAGCTGGCAGATGTCCTTGAGGAGGTAAATGTTCATAATTGGCACTGTTGCTAATCCTTCAACAAACACAACTGGTATTAAATTAAGAGTTATACTACAGGCCTCTGTTGGTATTCACAGCAATCTTTTGTACCCACACAATGCATTGCAAAATAGAATTCTTAATATCCTGTCCTAGCTTACATGCTCAAGTGTGATCTTTTATCTATATCAGTTGTCAGGTTAAAAATTATTACTCTTCAATCACTGTTTCATTAGTCTTTCAAACAGTCATTTATAAGCAGCCAAAGACTGTTGTGCTGCTATTAGCAGACAAGGAATTAATTTTAATTTTATTTTTACACAAAGCTCACATTCACATAGAGTATTGAATGAAATGAAAGTAATTTGTGCATAAAAAATTGTCTTAAGAAGACAAGTTGCTAATTATGCTAAACTATGTTGATTTATGCCATTGTGACTTAAGGCATTTTATCATCCGAACTGTCCATCTTTTTGATACATTGCATCAGGCACAAAAAAAAATACAACCAACCATCTGAGCAACTCCATCTGTCACCTCAAGGCTATTCTATCAGCTATTTCAATCCTAATTAAAACTGCTCATTTAAATACTACGTCAGATTCTGGATGCTGTCTGCATTCGCTCAAACAAAAAAGGACTCAGCTCATTTTGTAAGTTCCTAAGTTGAAATGCTTTTTAGTCCTTAATTATTTAGTTATTTTCACTTAGGTACAATATTGGATGATATTAGTCTGTGCAAGTCACGCAAGCATTTTAGATTTTGTTTTCTTTTTTTCCAATATGAACAAATAGTAAACATGCTTTAAAATCTGCAGACATTCTCCAGTACTTTTTTATATATATATATTAAGTTTTGGATAACATCTACACATAGGCATTAATATGGAGTTGGTCACCCCTTTGCAGCTATAATGACTTCCATTATTCTGGGAAGCTTTCTACAGTAGTGTGTCTGTGGGTATTTTTGCCTATTCATCCATAAGAGCATTTGTGAGGTTAGACACTGATGTTGGACAAGAGGGTCTGGCTCGCATTCTCAGTTTTAGTTTATCCCAAAGGTGTTTGATGGTGTTGAGGTCAGTGCTTTGTGCAGGCCACTCAAGTTCTTTCACACCAAACTCACCCCATGGTTGAGTACAGACCTTGTTTTGTGCACTGGGGCACAGTCATGCTGTAACAGAAAAAGGCCTTCCTCAAACTGTTCCCACAAAGTTGGAAGCATGCAATTGTCCAAAAATGTCTTGGAATGCTGAAGCATTAAGATTTCCCTTCACTGGAGTCCAGTGGTAGCATACACTCCCACCCCCCCACAGACATGACGTCTGGCAGAGGTGGCATCCTGTGGCAGTGCCAAGTTTACAAGTCACTGAGCTCATCAGTACAACCCATTCTACTGCTAGTGTTTGTCAATCGAGACTGCAAGGCTATGTGCTTATTTTTATTCACCTGTTAATAATAGGTGTGTCTGAAACACCTGAACTCAATAATTAGGAGGGGTGACCCAACAGTTTAGTCTATATATATATATATAAAATGACTAAGGCTTTGGTGTTTATTGGCTAAAAGACATTAGATTAGAGTGTCATAGGAAACTTTACTTTTCATGAATGTCATGAATAGATTGTGTTAAGAATGAAATGCTATACTAATTGACCTGGAATGAAAATGTAAATTTCAGGCACTGGAGTTATTTTGGCTTCTGGCATTAATTTTTCGGTGTTCCTGTGTATAATTACAGGAAATAGTGGTGATGCCTGGTAGACATGGTCTCTCTCACACTTATTCCTGCTGCTTATTTTTATTTTCTTTTTCCATGTGTAACATGGCTGCCATCGAGTGTTCAGAGTGAATGTGCTTATCTGCTAATTAGCATATCCAAATCTTGTAGCTTTATCAGAAGGATTCTCATTCTCTGATAATCAACACAAAATGTCTTGAATTAGATAGAACTCAGACTAAAAGGAGCCATGTAAAATACTGAGCTGGAATGCCAGCCTCAACCCATTTTAGTCCACTTAAGAATGAATGGAAATGAATAGCTTCTAAGACTTGAAGACATTAAGACTTGAAGACTTGGAGAATTTTAAGGATGCAAGTTCACATAGTATTTACTTATTGGTAAATATTACAGCATGAAGGCCACATCAACAGTACAATAAGATTAGTAGTGTAATACAGGCATAGAAGTACAGTGGCAGTTCATAGCATTTGCAAGGAAAAAAACTCTTCACATTGCAGCTTTCAATTGCAACATTAACAATAAGTAAATACAAATGTCCTTTTTGATTTAAGCTGGCAAAATGGTCATTTAACTGCAAACCTGCAGCTTGATAGGTGGAAACACAACAGTCACCAGTGGATCGTGATAGATGTGGAAAAAAATAAGTTCTGTTCCTCTTCAGATTTTTTACACTATTGTAAATGTGTCCTGCTGTAGAGGACAGAGTGTCGGTGATGCTGGAAAAGGGTTGACCAGGGTCAGACTGAGGGTACTGTTTCGGCCATGCTGTCGGCATGCAGGTGTGTCTCTCATTTCATCTGTCTAGAGGACAGTGATGGCATGCAGCGAGCCAAGAGGGCACTGTGTGCCCCCCTAAAAAAGACTCTGTCCCTGTGGCAAGACATCAGTGCTTAAAGCCCCAGGGACAGGTCCTGGGGGCAGCTGTGGTTTAGTGTTTCAGGAGGCTTTGTGTCTGTACTCTTTCCTCTCTGTCTCTAGTTTCATTTTCATCCAGTCTTTGCCCCAGTGATGGTCATGGCCATTTAGCACAGGATCACCAGAACTAACCAAACTGGTCACAGTTGTAATGTGTTATTCCTGAAAATGTCATTCGCTATTGCACTTCAAATAGTAAGTAAAAACAGACCCAGACATTCCAGAATTTTTCAGCAATATCACCCAAGCTTTTAATTTATTTTTTATTTTATTTTACTGACTGCTCATTTTTCTCTTTCATGTTTTTGGCACTCTCCCTCTCCTGTTGTGTTGCCTGTTTGTTATGCAGACACATTATGAGGATGGGGATTACATCATCAGGCAGGGAGCAAGGGGAGACACTTTCTTCATCATTAGTAAAGGAAAGGTAAGTCCAGTTTACAACACTGATAAATGTGATGCATTGAATTTACTTGATTCAAATGTGCACATCATTTCCACATTAGTAAAACATATGATACAGTTGTTGCCAAAGGTAAGTAAACTGAAAGACAAAACTGTGTTGACGCAATATGTTTTGTTCAAGTGGAAATGACGTTCACATTTGAATCAAGTAAAATCAATGCAGCACTGTTTCAGCAGTGGCATGGTGTCTAGATGTGAATGTACTTTAGATCTGATTTGATCTGAGTTCTTTACTGATCTGCTCCTCTCTCTCAGGTGACAGTGACCCGAGAAGACTCTCCCAGTCAGGAGGCGGTGTACTTGCGATCTCTAGGAAAGGGCGACTGGTTTGGTGAAAAAGCCTTGCAGGGGTAAGATTACCCTCTATTTTTGTGATCAGATAAGTAAATGCTTTCAGGTTTCATCTCATACGGCTGTGGTCACATTGAGCTCCTTCATTAAATGCAGGTCTGTAGTCAAATCCACATAGATATAAATCCTCTGGTGCCATCTAGTGGTGGCTAAACATTCACTTATTTTGCAGTATGATATATAAGTAAGATCAGTGAGGTGCTGAGTCTGTACTTGGAACCTTAAGTGCTGTAAATGAGAATGCATATGATCACCATATAAGGTCTAGCAAGATGTGCTTCCAATTGCTTTGTATACATATAAAATAGCCCAGCAATGTCTTCTAAACCAGAGGTTCCCAATCCTGGTCCTGGAGGACCTCCAGCCCTACACATTTTTTTGTGTTGTCCTGCCAAAACACACCCTTTTCAACTCAGGAAGGGCCTGTTAATCAGCGGATTAGTTGGATCAGGTGTGTTGAGAGCACTGCAGACACTTGCATTTGCAGGGCTAGGGGTCCTCCAGGACCAGGGTTGGGATGGGAACCACTGTACTTAAACAATCTTTTGTATACACATTTTAACTTGATCTCCACATAATTTTTAGGAACTTGGGTCTGTCCTTGAAATGTATGATAAATAGCTAGATGAGATATTGAGGTCTCAGGTTTTTTTTTTTAGGTCTGTAGTTAGTACTCTCAATTTGTATCTTTTTTCTCAGTTGCCAAATGTACCTAAACCTGGACTGGTCTTGTCAGTCAAGCCTATGTAAAATCTTGAGACATTATTAGATGTTATTTTATACCTTACTCAGCTGTAATATTTATAAATCAGTGTCCTTCTTCTTCCCAAAACCTATGGTAGACCAGCCTGTACATCCCCCATGAGACTGAGAAAAATGCCCAAATGTTATGGTTGTAACCTATCATGAACACCTGAACATGACTGCTCTTTTTTTTAACCATTATTATTATTATTATTGTTGTTGTTGTTGTTGTTGTTGTTGTTGTGGTGATGGTGGTGATGGTGGTGGTTGTTATGCATAGATTGCCATCAAACTGAGTTTTAGTCATATCTTCATTGTGTCATTGAGCCCTAGTGTGCCCCCTTACAGTCAAGCAAATCAATCTGAACTTCTGCCTTTTTGTATTGTGTATTATGTTAAGTTACTATTCACAAATACACTGACACTGATTGATTTACAGTAAACCATATTTCCTTGTATAAATCTGAAATCTGAGGCCGATGGCCATATTTTAGAGTTCTCAGTATAGGTGCGCAAGCCCTTTCTGTTTGATCATGAATTACAAAAAGATTTCCTGTGTCTCAAGCATGCATGCTGATTTTGATCATCAACTGCTTGCTCTATTCTGCTCCGCTCTGTGCCATTTGTGCTGTTCTGTTCTGTCCATTACGTTCTGTTCTGTGGTACAGTCATTTACATTCTGTTGGATTGTGTATAACAATGTATTGTACAAACCAGTAGCTAATGTATGCTGTATTATTCTGCCCAGATGTAAGGGCAATGTTTGTGTTCTAACATCCAGGATTTATTCTGATTTGAGAGGACATTGATGTGATACAGAGTACAGTGCATGTAGGTCAAGAAATCCTCTTGGACTGGGTCTGCAGTCAGAAGAAAGAAGCTACTGATACCTGGATTAATTGGCATATGTATGCGACAGTGTGTGTGCTCGTGAAAGAGATTAGAATGGGGACACATATTTGGCATGGAGGGCCACTTTTCAGAGAGCAGGTGTCACTGTTTCAGATGGGCCATGATGACACAGTGCAGGTCTCACTCAGGAGGGCATGCTGTCCACTTAATGCCTCTTATAAAGCCACTTATAGAGCACTCAGGCCTTAATGACCCTCGTCACAACAAGCCTGCACTCACTGGCTATGTAATAACACTTTAAAGTAGTGCCAAAATCTTTTTTCTCCTCTTCTCTCCTCATTTCTCCTCTCCTCTACATGTGTCTCCTCTCTTCTCCCTTACTATGCCCTCGGTTATCATGTAGAGCAGCTGTGACCTTCTCTCAGGGGGGTGTTTGTGTATTTGTGTTGTGGGGGATTTAGTGCTGTGTAGTGAAGAATTCTCACCTCTGTCCAAGCATAAGAGACTTTGATTGGTCATGGACAGTATGTGCATGTGTGTTACTGTCTAGTCTTCTTTCTGGTCAGACGGCATATGTGCATTGTATAGGGTTGGATGGATCTTGCTGAGTGGGATAGTAAGGCTAAGTACATATGGTAGAATAGGGATAAATGTGGGAGTGAACCTTTATAGTTTAGCATGTTCTAAGAACTGAAAAGGCCTACAGTAAAGATAGCTTGGGAGGGTGCCACATTAACCTGATGGATTCAGTGATTTGGGATTCGGACTCTGATTCGTGCGACTGGGAGGACGACTCCTCGGAATTCAGCGAGCCAGAGGAATTCAATGATGGCACACAGAGAGACTCGGAGTAATGACTGAAATATGGCAAATCTCATTTGCAGTTCAGAGGAACTTTTATGATAAATTATTCAGAGAGAACCTCTATAGAACCAGTGACTTTTCACCAGTTTAAGCTGTGAATAGGATGTATTTTTATAGATAGATGATCTGTTCATCATTCTGTATCTAACATTGCTTGGCACAATTCAACAGTTCAGTTACTGAAAATGTGTTCTGTACCAAATCGTATTTAATTAATGCTCCCTTTCTGTTTTTCAACTCATATTTTACTGTTTGTTTTTCACAGAGAGGATATCAGGACAGCCAATGTCATCGCTGCAGAAACCGTAACCTGCCTTGTAATTGACAGAGAGTAAGTATCACTTATTATATAAAGCATTATTATACCACATATTGCTAAATTATTATTGCATATATAATATATTAAACAGCATTAAAATATCTAATATAATATTATATAATATAATGGACAATACTTTTGGAAATATACAATAATAAAATATTAGTCTAGAATATCAGTCTAGAATTAGATTTTGTGACAGACACGAAAAGGCATTTTTAGATGTTTTATTCAATATTTCAAGGATTTTGAAACAGTTTGGAATTTCTATACTGTAATATCTATTTACAATAATTTATTGTTACATTATCTACCCAAGATTACATAACCAGAATCACAAAATATGAGTTTTTTTGTGGATTAAATTTATTATAACTTTATTCTTCATGCTATACAACTTGTCAGACATTTTAGAATTTACTATAGCTCTGTTAATCGTTCTGGAAGCATCTAAAATTTCATTTTTTAAGCTTCTTAGCTTCCTACGAATTATTTGAAGCTATGAATTTATGGTTTCAAACTTATAAAAAACAATATTATATATTATATCTAATATTCATTCATATTTATTTAATACTATTATATAAATATTCATAACTTACTTTTAGTAACACATGGACTTCTCATAACTGTTGCATGTCAAGCTGTGATTAATCTTTTTCTGCTGTTTAAACTGGGTGTATTTATTTGTGTGTATGATGGGGTGGCTGAGTGTGTGTGCATGCCTGCTGTGCATGTGCGAGTTTATCTATTTGAAGGTGTGTTTTGTCTGATCCCTTCCAGCAGTCAATGAATCTAGCTCAACCTAAATAGCTAAAGTGCTGTGTGTGTCAGTGAGCTCTGCAGACAGGTTACCTCCTGAGGAATACTGTCATTCCACTCTTTATGTGCTGCTTACAGCTTCATAGGCATTCACCCATCAGCACTCTGCTGTGGGGATTTGCACTCTGTATGTGCTTGTGTAGCACTTGGGCTTTTATTGGCTGAATGTTGTGTCTTTAGTCAGGTGAACCCATACCATAGTAGATTACCAAAATGGCTATCGATCAGGTATAAGCAATAATTTACACTCAGTTAAAGAAAAAGACTGAATTCAGAATATTATTGGGTATTTTTGTGCATGTCAGGATACATTCTGTTTAAGCATATTATCATTCCCCTAGGAAGGAGTGGGGAGAGAGAGAGAGAGAGAGAGATATTGAGAGAGAGAGAGAGAGAGAGATATTGAGAGAGAGAGAGAGAGAGAGAGAGAGAGAGAGAGAGAGAGTATTTAAATATTTACAAGAGTAGATTAAACTGCGGTACCAGAGCTGCCATTCTAGTTATAAACACATCATCCAAAGTACATCTCCAGCATTATTACCATTGCTCCCAGTCATCTAGCCATACTCATCAACCAGCACACCCTCCCCTACACACTCTCTCTCTCTCTCTCTCTGATTGGGTTGTTAAAATTGCAGAGAGGATTTCATCATTTACACCAACATTTACACCAGCAGAGGCAACACATAACTGAATGTTCTTACTGTTCAAGAATGAATTCAAGTGCACTGACCCATCGAAAACTCTCTCATGTCAAATTATATATTCTCACAAATTTAATCAATTTCTGCCCTGACCCTGTCAAGTGCTGTTGTTGCCTTCTTTATTGTACACTTTTAGATTTGAATTAAACTCTTGTGCTTCTCACAAATAGTGCTACAGAATAATGTAAGTGTTACAATTACATCGCGCAGATGTCTTTTTTGAGCGTTACGATCTAAAGCATTCCTCTCATTTTTATTTATTTTAGTTCTTATAAGCACCTTATTGGAGGTTTGGAGGATGTGTCCAGCAAAGGATCTGAAGATGCAGAAGCCAAAGCAAAGTAAGTCTGTCTCCAGTCTACTCTTACTAGAATTATCACAGGGCTCCGTAGCTACTTGATGTGGAGTGGTACACAAGTTTTTTTCTAATGCCATTTACAAGATTAATGGCCATAATTGCATGTTCAAGGTAAGAAGAACAGTACTCTGTTAAATGTTTCTGGTTAATGTGAAATAATCTGGTTATGATTATGCAGAGTTTTGCTGTGGTGATTATATATTAACTCAATCATTTTCATTTATAGAAAGCGATATATAAGAGCGGTTATTCTGCTGTTGAGAGAGAGAGAGAGAGAGAGAGAGAGAGAGAGAGAGAGAGAGAGAGAGAGAGAGAGAGAGAGCAGCATCCTCTGAGCCAGCAACACATTGTTTTTAATGAGGAGAAACATGAGGAGAGAGAGAGAGAGTGTGACCTGTCCAGCAGTTTGAGGTGATGTGAAAGTGAACCTTGCTCAACTGAAGGACTGCAAAGGCGAGGGTAATGTGAACCCTCAGAAACCTTATCACCCAGCACATTTGTACAGCAACACACACAGGCATACACATATTCACACAAACACACACACACACAAAGAGAGATTACTGTTGCCACAATAAATAAAATGGAGCAGATAGAGAGCTAAGAGGCTCAGCTTCTCTCCCTCTTCAAAAGTTCCTTCTCTCAGATCAAAGCAAAACTAGAAACTTTCCCACTCTTTTCTCTCACTCTCTCATCTGCACTGTAAATCCCCTTGCTGATAAAATAATGAAAACATCTCTGTGGTCTGAGTGCTGTTACATCCCACAGATTGTTCCTTCCTCAGTGTTATTAATGCACTGTTTCAGCCGTCACACAGTTTCCAATCCCTTGTGTTCTGGCATGGTTTTGATCAACATGTCACTAAGAAATTAGTCTCAAACCACGACACAACCATGACAGAGCAAAGCCAACATAATTGGCCTCAGAGGGATAAGCACAATGCCATGACCCCCTTAACTTGTATACACACACACCAAACTTTGTAATTATGAATATAATGTCATTAACATATTGAGTAATATATATATGGAATTCCATTGAAAAAGCTGAGCTGTATATTTTGTGCTAGCATTATCCTTTTACAGGCTGTGCTTCTCATGTACCAGAACTGGTTCTCTCCTATATCTCTTCTTCCTTCCTGCCTCTAACAAGAGAAAACAAGAAAACATTATTTTGGTGAAAATCCTTTTGCAAGCCAAAGTGATATTTATCTTATCAGCGATATGGGAGCATTCTGAATCAATTAGCTGTGTCAGTTTTTGTTTGAGAGACAGATGTAGTAGAAAGCTAAGGTCCCAAGAGGCCACTGCTCTGATTTCCTGTGGGCACATGGCTCCAGTCAGACAGCTGTGGTCCAGCAGAAAGCCCATGGCTTGGGACATGAGAGAGCACTTTCAGCCCTGGAGTCAGATATAGCAGCCATTAATACCAGTGCAGGGTCCTGAGAGAGAGATCACAAGTCCTTAACAGTGCATCAGCTCTAGACGTACCCAAAGGGATTATGTCATACTCCATGATGTCATGGATCCTTTCAGATGTATAGCTTAACGTACACACATCAGATATTTAACTAAGCCCTGCCATTTGTGTTATTTCACATATGAATTAAATATCTGTTAATCGTATATTAGCTGGGTTAACTTCGATCTCAGATAGATTTGAGATATAAATGTAACTAATAGATTTTATTAGAATTACTGATGATCTGTGGTGATGACATCTGTTAACATTTCAGGAGAAAAGCAGTCTAAATCTATAGGAGCATAACTCATTGTGCCATGCTTATAGAGAGTAGAAAGGCATTTGAAAAGAGGACTATGATAAAAGCTCTTCTAGCCCATAGCTCTTTGTATAGTGACACTCCTGCTCTGGTCTGGCGCTTCATCATGTCCTAGTAATGCTATCGGTATTTTACTATGCTTTAATGAGTATGTGTCTCTTTCTCATGTATGTATATTCTTCTTAAAATGGCTGCAAAGAGACTTATAGTTAAGCTCGGTCTATGTGATGCTGTCTCTCAGAAGGAATTGCACTGCGAGCTTTAAAGCTCAGGGTCACCACCTTGTGGTCAAATATATCCTGTCTTTCATTTGTTCTGGATTTAATCCAGGTCAAAGGCCAACTTCTGATCAGACACCTTTTAAAAAAAATGTTACCAGACCATAAAGGCTTTGCATTTTTCTTACTTTAACAATATTAATAATGCTTTAATAATGAACAAGGCAAAGAAATGTTCATACCTTGTTCCCTACCAAAGGTTTAATAGGACTACAGCAGCTGGCACAGAAAACATGAACAGGGAGATAATTTTGCAGTGTGCTTGTAGAAGGTTTGGAGCTGCATCCTGTGTGCACTTTATCTACTGTCCCCAGCATCTGTGCATGAAAACCATAATCCTCACTTGTTGTAATGCTGCCTGTCTCTTATGGAGCATAACAGCTTGTGCTGCACTGCGCTCTCTAAACAAATGCAGTCCCGCTAGGTGACATTTTGCACCTGCAAAACATTTTATGCATTTTACGCAACCATCATCTCATATCAACAAACGTAGCTCAGGATGAGATCTACTGTTTATCTGTATTATGTGTAATTACTGCATAAAGCTGTGAGTAGGCTTGTTCTGAATGCTTTCAGTGATTTACGCAGAATTAATTTAGCTTCGTAAACATCACCAGTCATTGTGGTTGAGTACTGAGGTGAATTATATGTAGATGAGCCTGAATATTGCCTTGATTTTCTGACTACACTCATTCTAAGAGCTTTTCCCTCTGTTTTGCTACATATGTGCACCAGCCTTCTCACAATACTGGATGCCCTCGGTACACCATGATTTCTTCCATCCTCTTTTTATAACTGCAGTTCAGGCAGAGCTCTCTGCCATCTGCAGACCAAGAGGAGGAGTGCATTTGATATTTATTGCAATAATGGTGTTGTATTCTCAAAGTGTTTTTACTGCACATGTTGCCAGAGTTGTTTATGCTGTGCTCTATTTTTGGAGATTAGCTGCTCCAGCAGGCCAGAACTCATACTGATGTCTCTGACCCAGAAAAACCTTCCTCCTTCATCAGCCAAACTAATCCGGTCAGGCTAATAATTGATCTGATTATGAGCAAAAGGATCAAACAATATCCAGAGGACACTATGTGTTTGTGTGTGTGTGTGTGTGTCCATGTGTTAGGGCCCTTGGCAGTGTGTGTGGAAAATCATAACCTCTGTTTGACACTGGGCAGCAATGTGCCAAGCCAAACACAGACACAAACGTGTTGTTACTCACCATTCACGTGACTAGTGTTTTAAAGAGACCCAGTTGGAGAATTGGCACTCTCTCTTCTCATGAGGGACCTCACTAAATGAAGAAGCTTGTAATCAAGCAAGTTTTTTGAAACGCCTTGAGTGCTGGATTAATTTTCAAACAGTCTGAAAGTAATATAATGTTCTAGTGTCTGCGTGAGTGCATTTAAGTTTAAACAAAGCAAAAGCAGATTTCTTAAAACAATGATTAAGTTACTTGACCCTGACCTTGGATTTAGCATCGCTCACTCCATTTAATCCTAATTATTCACATATGAAAAGGCAAAACCTGATCCTAGTTCAGTGCTTCGAGTTTGATACAAACCAGCAGCACCAATGTTAATATGAAGTTTCTCTGCTGAAGGTTAAATCTGAAATACAACGCCAAGCATATGTAGTGCGAATGTGTTTTTATAGCTCTCAGACCAAAGTGTAAAAGCAGTATTAACTGGAAGAGCTGCAAGGGGGTACTCTTCCTAAAAATATACCTCGGGTACATAGTAGATGGAACATGAGTGAAGACAACACTACTGTCAGCTCAATGGAATAAAGACAAAAGCAGAGCGTACCATTTATCAGGCTTTACCAACTCTTACCATAGGGTATACGATTTGTGAAGAAGAGAAGAAATGAGAGTTTGGTTTATGACCTTTCAGGATAAAGAGAGGGATTTTTTTCCCTCCTTTTCTCCAGGGATCCTTACTTTCAGTCTGCATTCCTCTAAACGCTTTCCGTTTCTCCACCTGCTGCCATACAGATACGAGGCAGAGAATGCTTTCTTCTTCAACCTGCACCTGTCGGACTTCAACATCATAGACACTCTTGGAGTTGGAGGATTTGGACGTGTTGAGTTGGTATATTATAATATGATTTTTCCTAATTGACTAATCTGTGCAAAACAATATTGAACAGAAATGTGTGTTGTTTTAAGTCTCTTAATTTTCTGTGGATGATACAGAGTGAAGTGGTGTGATGTTGAGTTTGGTCACAAAGCTTGCTGGTGTTGCAGAAAAACCTACACTATTTCAACTGACAATTTAGAGGAATAATATGGATCTGAATGTTGATGTTTGACTCATCCTCAGTCATCCTTTGAAAAGGAAAAACACTTTTTTAAAGAAATGTGGAATGAGTCGCATCTAGGGTAATCTTTTTTTCTCTGTGTTGTAATAACAGGTGCAACTGAAGAGTGATGAGTACAAGACATTTGCCATGAAGATCTTGAAGAAGCGCCACATTGTGGACACCAGACAACAGGAGCACATTCGCTCAGAGAAACTCATCATGCAGGAAGCTCACTCTGACTTCATTGTGAGGTAGTCAGACAGCTGTACTAAGACACTGATGAACCACACCAGTTCTAAAATTTCGAAACTCTCACACATCACTACAATAAGTTAAACTGACTCTTCCAGAATTTACAAATTACATTATAAATGTTTAGGTTGTTCAGCAGTCAAAAATAAAGCACACAGTTGCCTTGAAAATTGTTGCTGTTCAAAGAAAAACAAATATCTTCAAGTATCTTCAAAACAAGTATCTTCAAAAACTTTACAAGAGAGGGTAAAAACATTCTTTACTTTCAGTGTAAGTTAATGTAAAGAGATTTTATTGGAAGCAATTTTGGAGCATTTGTATCAGTCCAGTCATCATGACATTTTCACTCAATGTAAAGAACAGCTGTGCTCAAATTATGCATCATGCAGGAAGCTCAAATTATCCTTCTTTTTTTTTAGACAGGGACGAATGTCTTTTGTGTTGGATCATGATCATAAACCAGATAATATGATCTCTCACAGGTTTAACTGTAAAATATAAAGTACTGTCATGTTGATTTCTGTTTTTTGTACATTATCATTATTATTACTATTTTGTACTGTTTTGACTTTTTTAGCTATTTGAACAGTTTTGGCTGTGTTGTTTTAGGCTATTTTTTTGCCAGTTGATATTAATATTATATTAATATTTCCTTAGACTCTATAGGACATTCAAGGACAGTAAATACCTGTACATGCTGATGGAGGCATGTCTGGGAGGAGAGCTGTGGACCATCCTGAGAGACAGGTCAGCCCTACACACATTCCAAGACAAATTATACTTCCTTACTTACTGTTTACCGAGTTCCATCATGTATTTAACATCACAACTACTCTAGTAAAGCTTTTGTTTCTGGCCTATTACAGGGGTTCATTTGATGATTCCACTACGCGATTCTATACAGCGTGTGTAGTGGAGGCTTTTGCCTATCTGCATTCCAAAGGCATCATTTACAGAGACCTCAAACCAGAGAACCTGATACTGGACCACAGGGGCTATGCCAAGCTGGTATATGATTATATCTATATTCTGTTGATTTAATTTAAAGACATGTTGCACAAATATGAAAGAGAACAACAACAGATCTCTTTTTAGTTCAGCGTATCAAAGCCTGTTTGATGTATTTAGGTGGACTTTGGCTTTGCTAAGAAGATTGGATTTGGGAAGAAGACATGGACATTCTGTGGGACGCCAGAGTATGTGGCCCCAGAGATCATTCTTAACAAAGGTCATGATATCTCAGCAGACTACTGGTCCCTGGGCATCCTCATGTATGAACTGCTGACTGGGAGGTATGTGCAACTATTTGGATGGACACTAAATACATAAGACTGTAATTTGTGACTTTTTTAAGATTGTGTTTTAGGTTTATGGGATTGTTTGCAGTTTGCAGTATCCAAAAGTGCCCCCTAGTGATCAGCAATCGACAATAGTATTGTGGCACATGGTGGCATGAAAGCATGTCTGCTTAAATTAGAGGAAATAAACATGCGTGTGTTTCTTGTCAGAAGCTAGTTAACTTGCTAAGCTAACCTTGTTGGCCATTGTTTGGTTAAATCACAATTTCACAGACAATAAATTGATTCTTTCTAAAATAATAAAATGGCCATAGCTTACTATGTTAAGTCTGCCTACAGGCTCCTGTAGCTTACTATTGTCAGTTAAACCAAAGTTCATATTTCAAATGGAAGGACGTTCCGTATGCGGAAGGCTGCAGCACACATTTATGTGTTTATTCAGCACGACCACAGTAAGAAAAAAAGTGCTGCCTCATGCAGCTATAAAGCATTCTGAAGCCAGACAATGTATCAGGACCAATATAGGACATGGACGCCACGTTAAAAGGAAACAGAGATCACGAGACACATGTGCTTTCCTTTTGTGCATCTTAAAGCTGGAGATCGTCCAACTTGATAGCCATCATGATAGATGCATTCGATTCCTAATACAATCGTCATTTGGCTCAAGCTTATTGTCTTTAAACATCTAAAATGAATCTGTCCATATCTCTAATCCTCAAATATGTTTTAGTCCTCCTTTTTCAGGCCCTGACCCCATGAAGACTTACAACATCATCCTAAGAGGCATTGACATGATTGAATTTCCAAAGAAAATTACCAAAAATGCTGCCAATCTAATTAAAAAGCTATGCAGGTATGAAAACATGCAAAGAACATGTCTTGCTGTTATAATAGCTTTTACTGTACTAATGACAGTTTTTCTTTTTTGCTTTTCAAGGGACACTCCGTCTGAAAGACTAGGAAACTTGAAAAACGGTGTCAAGGATATTCAAAAGCACAAGTGAGAGCGAATGTGGTTTTACACAGTTAAATTAGTTAACATGTTTGGTTTGAATATTCAGTAGCTACTGGAGCATCTTGTTTAATAAATTACAATCAGAATGGTACAGCTCATTCCGTGCTCATATAATGTGCTCTGTGCAGATGGTTTGAAGGCTTTAACTGGGAAGGCTTACGGAAGGGAACACTAGCACCTCCCATCATCCCCAATGTAAGTGCACCCTAATGTGGTGTGGATGAACTAAAGATTTACACCGATCAGGCATAACATTATGACCACCTCCTTGTTTCTATGCTCATTGTCCATTTTATCAGCTCCACTTACTATATAGGTGCACTTTGTAGTTCTACAATTACAGTAGTCCATCTGTTTCTCTGCATACTTTGTTAGCCCCCTTTTACCCTGTTCCTCAGTAGTCAGGACCCCCATGGACCCTCATAGAGCAGGTACTATTCGGGTGGTGGATCATTCTCAGCACTGCAGTAACACTGATGTGGTGGTGGTGTGTGAGTGTGTGTTGCGCTGGTCTGAGTGGATCAGACACAGCAGTGCTGCTGGAGTTTTTAAACACCTCAGTGTCACTGCTGGACTGAGAATAGTCCACCAACCAAAAATATCCAGCCAACAGCGTCCTGTGACCACTAATGAAGGACTAGAGGATGACCAACACAAACTGTGCAGCAGCAGAGGAGCTATTGTCTCTGACTTTACAAGGTGGACTGACAAGGTAGGAGTGTGTAATAGAGTGGACAGTGAGTGGACACAGTGTTTAAAAACTCCAGCAGCACTGCTGTGTCTGATCCACTTGTACCAGCACAACACACACTAACACACCACCGTCAGTGGTACTGCAGTGCTAAGAATGATCCACCACCCAAATAGTACCTGCTTAGTGAGGAACAGAACTGAAGAACAGGGTAAAAGGGGGCTAACAAAGTATGCAGAGAAACAGATGGACTACTGTAATTGTAGAACTACAAAGTGCACCTATATAGTAAGTGGAGCTGATAAAATGGACAATGAGCGTAGAAACAAGGAGGTGGTCATATTTGTTATGCCTGATCGGTGTATGCTGCTTGTTCATCCAAAAAGTGTCTGTTTGTACTAATATTTAAAGATGCATTAAGCAGAGATAATGAATCAATACCTTCAGGGTTTTTCTTTATTTGTTTGCTTGTTTATTTACTTATAATGCCCTTCAGAATCACTGACACTCACAGTTATTATAAGGAAATAACACTAGATAAAATTCACTTATTATTTAATAAATGTTTTCTATGATGTGCACCAGAAGGAAAGGACATTGTCTTATTGTGTTAGCCTTGTCAGAGAAATCTTTCATCTTTAATGTTATTTCAGTTTTCTCCTTAAAACAATGGCTCTCAGATCTATGAAATTTTGTAATTCATAAACTCTTCCTATGCAAAGGCAGTGGTGATGGCAGGACGCATAAGAGATCTGGGAGTATTTAATGCAAGGTGTCCATGTCCATCCTTTCCCTCACTTGTGGACCATTCTTCAGCTCATCTCATAGGTTTTCTCGATGGAGTTTTATGTTAGGGAATGTATTCCAGTCCCATTTCAAAAAGCTTAATACTGTGGACTGAGCATTTTCTGTGTGGATTTAACGATTAATTTGGATCATTGTCTCAGTGTTAGCCACTTGGCAGCAGCAGACAGGTTTTGCACTGAAATCTAGAACCGGACAGATGAGATTTCTTTGGAAACACGTATGTTGACTAAAGGCTAACGTTTCTCATAGTTTTAGTAGACATCATAGATGGAATGCTGACTGATTTCATGGCTTTTTGCTGTTCTTTAGCAAGAGTGTCAGTAATTCTGTAGAGAAAATAATTAATACATTTATTTTTTTTGTTTGTTTGTTGGTTAGTTATACATGCAAAGCAAGCTTACTGAACTGTGAACAAACAATAACAAAAGCCAAATTCAAGTAGCAATGTTAAAATAACTTAAAATGAAAGTTAAAGTAACAACCACTCTTATAAAAAGCATACGTGTTTGAAGCTGGTCAGCGGTTTCTAATGCTTTAAATTGATTTAATAATGATGAGTAATTCGTTTTCACATATTGACTAATAGTATATTTATTTTCAAGTTTTTTTGCATTATGAATTACGTTCTTACTAATTATTGCTGAATTAAATGGCCTAAACTTTATTCTGCTCTCTGATTGTTTTCTCCCCAGGTAACATCAGCCATAGATACAAGTAACTTTGACAGCTTTCCCGAAGACAATGAAGACCCTCCTCCTGACGACAACTCTGGCTGGGACATAGACTTCTAAAGCTTCTACACACACTCTCTCGTTTATCACACACCAAACAAAAGACCTGCTCCACTGTTGCCTGGAACAGAGCTGCTTCTTTTGGAAAGGCTGCATTAAGGACTGCTTGAGGAGAAAAAGAACAGACTGAGAGAGTGGAAGAAGAAAAACTTTTGTTTTGATTAGCCTTGACTGTTGCAATAGAGAAATTAAAGTTCCTATGGACTTAAGCTACAAGGGAATCGGAGCTTTCAGCGCTCTACTACACAAGTCCCAACACTGGGGGAGGAGGGGGGGAGCATAATTCATATTGTGTGTGTGCGTGTATGTGTGTGTGCTGTCACCCTGGTGTATGTATGTGTGTACTTGCCTCAAGCCCTTCTTATCATGTTATAATGGAGATATATTGCAGCAGATTGTGACCTCACTCACTTGCTTTTTGCCCCAGATTGGCTGCAAACTTTTTATCTTCCAAACCTCGTGCGGACAAGTATGTAATAGAGATTTGGATTAAAACGCTGTATCTCAAAGCCAGGATTCAGGGCGTCCACACACACCTGAATGTTATTCTTATAGCTAATGAGGCATTCTCGAACGTGTACATAGTAATATATTACCCCAAAAAACGTGCAACATTAGCTGTTTATCCTTAAAAAGCACAACATTTTGTTGCATTTATAATAATGGCTAGGTAATAGACTTCAGAAGTGCCCTGTGCAGACATTGCATAAGTATCCCTCTTCTTTGTTCCTTACATTTCTGTGTGTGATAAAATGGCAGATGGCCATTTTGGCTGATGTGGCCAACCCAGGGCTTGTGCAAATGTTTGATTTATCAGAAACTCCTAATGTGCCTCAGATTCACGACACCGTTTATATAAAAAATCCGAAGGCCCCTGCTGAATTCAGAATGCTCACCGCTTTCAAGCTAACATCATATCCATATATTACTGTCATTAAACCCGGCCTGAACTGTTTCAGAGTAAAGTTTTAACCACTGTGACCAGGCAGGGATTTAATAGTTTTTTAATACGCCTGTGACACTGGTTTTAGGGAAAGTAGGGGAGATAATTTGAGCTTTTAATGGCCTCAGATTTAAGTCTATCTAATGGCGTGGTTAAATAACTACAGCTCAATTCAGGTATAACTTATTTGCTTATGAATACATCAAAACATCTCTGACTCCACTGACAGACTGACTATCTGACCATGAAAGGAATTAGTGCCTTAAATCAATGGCATCTTAAAACACTATTGACCATTAATGTGTTCCATGTCAAAGCCTCAAACAGACATCCTCCATCCATTTCTCCACTGTTTTATGATAAAATCCATTTTTGGTTTTTAAATGTAAATGTAACCTGTGCACAGCTAGACACTGTGAAACTGAGAAGGGACATAGAAATATGTCTTTAAGGCATGCATGCTTATGCAGCTGGATCAGCAGGGCAGTTTAAAGCAGTAATTGCGTTTCATTGTAAGACTATGTTTAGCACTTTTCTTGAATAAGTACTGTGCCACAGCATGCAGTACTAAACACCATAGTCCATGTAGCATTTGTCTTATTTAACTGCACTGAGATGGCCTCCTTCCTCTTTAACCTCTTCCAGTCGCTTCCACTCACACTTCTTTTACTGATAGGACCTGAAGACTTACTTACTACACATCCAAGACACTAGTCTATACACAACCTCCATGACGGTGGAAATACCACTCTTATCCCACCTGAACAAAGGGAGATTGTGATCACAGTTGTAATTAATTGCACACTATATAGCCCACAACTGATACCCCATATAATTGTCTGGAGGGTTTTTTCCACTTTCTTTGGTTGCCTTGAATGCCATCATCTGGCATGAAAAAAATAAGAGAACTACTTGAAAATTATCCAGGCCCATAAGGAGAATCAAGACTGTGCCTAGGTTACACAGGCCCAACAGACATCAGTAATGTCACTGAAACCATTAACCCATTACTGTCCATGTCAAAAATGTTGAATGTCCTTTGGTCCATATGATCGCTGAGGTTGCCTGAGCACACTATTTGGCTAAAAAAAAACACTATATGGCTACAATTTTCTAGAAGTTAATTTATGATATTAAATCTAGTTTTTTGGTGACATTGGAAGAAGTTACATGGTAATTTTCCATTTCATAATAAATGTATTTGTTGGACATGAATGGGTTAAAATGTATAATTCCTTTTTTATAATCAAATATTTTACTTTTCCTCACATAGTTTCGGATGTAATCTTGATTTAGACTCAGTCTAACTTTATTATCAGAGGCTGCACTCTATCTGCATTGCTTTTCTCCATCATTGAGTGATGTGTTTTTTTGCCAAGATATTTATTTTCCCTTATTGTACTCTGATGTCCTTGTACTGCAAAGTCATTTGCAGTGTGCCTGGTATGAACTTTATAGACCTGAAATAAAGACAAATTTCTTTTATTCGCGGGTTGCCCTGTCTCTCCCTATAGCAGGTAGAGTTCTGCTGTGTGCGCCGCTGTGTGTTCTATAATGACCGGCAGAGGGCGCCAGAATATTACATACTAGCAGTGAGGTAAAAATCTAAGGTATCTGTTGCTGTAGGCTACATTCTCTGGCGAGCACTAAGCAACAGACCGTGAAGATTTCTCTGCCTCTGCAAACAGTTCACACCTTGCAAAGGTGGATATCCGATTCTCATTTACATGTATCTCTGAATGCTCTTGCTGTTTTACAGCAGGCCACTCACAGCGCAGTTAGGATATAATGGACAGTTTACGCAGACTATAGAAGCCAACAGGGTAAATTTGCATTTCAGATGGACAATCGTGAGCTCAGAGACTCTGTCGTTCTCCAGTAACACCAATGAACAGACGCCTGTATATAAGTGCAGCCTGAATACGAGCAGCTCCACCATTCATGCACTGTTACATGTTACACAGAAACCAGCGCGTCAACGTTACAGTGTTAGAATGTAACTCAGGTTAATGTCTGTGCAGAAGAGTCCGCCCACAGGTACCGCCGATCCTAATGATATCCTTTAAGTCCTGCTTTAGAGAAGGAGCCCAGGAGGCGCGCGGGATTGCGAAAGACAACAAGTTAGGTGTGTAAGGGGGAGAGAGAGAGAGAGAAAGAGAGAGAGAGAGAGAGAGAGAGAGAGAGAGAGAGAGAGAGAGAGAATGTGAATAAAGAATGTGAGAGAGAATAGAAGAGAAACAGTGAGGTAGAGAGAGCGCAAATAGGAGAAACGGGGATGAAGAAAGGGAGAAAAAAAGATAAACAGTGAAAGAGTGAGAGAATAAAACGGAAAGACAATGAGAGTGAGCAAGAAACAGGCAGGTAGAGAGAGAATAAAAGAAACAGATAGCGAGAAAAGAAACAATATAAGAGAAACAAAGAAAGAAAGAGTGAACGAGAAAGAATAAAAGAAACAGTGAGGCAGAGAGAGCGAGAATAAGAGAAACGGAGAATATAAAAGAAACAAAGGTAAAGAAACATTGAAAGAGAGAGAATCAAAGAAAGACAGAGTGAGCAAGAGACAGCGAGAAAAAGAGAAGCAGAATATAAGAGAAACAAAGAAAGATCAACAGCGAAATAGAGTGAGTGAGAGAATAAAAGAAACAGCGAGAGAGAGACCGAGACAGAGAGAATGAGAGAGCGTGAGAGAGACAGACAGAAAGAGGAGAGACAGCGAGAATGAAGAAGACCGAAGAATGAGAGACACGCAGAGGGGGAGAGGGAGAGTGTATGTGTGTGTCAGTGTCCCGTCGTCAGGGCCTGAACGCTTATCCACCCCCTCCGCGGTGAGGGGCGGGTGAGTACAGGTCCACATGTATAAAGCTCATGCCTCTCTGCTTCTCTCCACACACGCGCGCTTCAGGACTCCAGCAGCGTCCCTGAGAGAACATCAGCCCTGAACTTTGACTCAGAAGAACATCCGTTCTCCTCTCCCTCTCTCTCTCTCTCTCCCTCTCTCTCTCTCTCTCTGTTCACTCTGCGGTAGGATGATGAGGCGGCTCTCTCTGGCTCTGCTGGCCGCTCTGTGTGTGGCTCTGTGCGGCGCCGCCAGCAGACCGGCTCCCGCTGCAGCAGCTGTGCGGAACTCCATCAAACACCCGGCGAGTGGAGCCTCCGCTCCCACACACACTCACACACACACCGTCAGCGCGAGACCCAGCGGTGGCGGGCGCGAGGAGGACACTGACGTCACACAGGTAATGCACAATTCAAAACAAGATAATTCTGTGGCTTGATGTAGTTTGATCATTTTTACAGTTTATTTCACCATGACTCATTTCCACTGTTATCGTCTGATGTGGTTTCGGATATTTTCATTTTAAGAATTTTTTTCTTAATACACATTTTGTTTACTAACATTTCAACCGAGGTTTACTCCTTCTAAATGAACAAAAGGAAGTACACTACGGAATTACTTAAGAAACTACTGTAGAGTTACTGTAGTTTTTTCAGTGACAAAAGTCATTTTAGTGGAAAGCTGAAACTTTTTCATTGAGGGTCAGTGACACACTGGCCCATAGGGTCTGGTACTTAAGGAGTGATGGTCTGTGAGACCTGAATTCCCCCTGCAGGATGTGAGAAGAGTAAAACTGATGTTTGTGTTGTTTGTCTCCTCCAGCCGCTAGGCTGCGCTGTGGACTCTGAGTGCCGCACATCTGAGTTCTGTAACGCCGCGCGCAGTGTGTGCATGCCGTGCCGCAAACGGAGGAAGCGCTGCGCGCGCCACGCCATGTGCTGCAGCGGGAGCTTCTGTGTGAACGGTGAGAGAAAGCATGCACAGCTCGCACATACACGTCTCCTCCCAGTCCCTTCTATTCTACATCTCATACAGCTCTTCATTTCTCTTCACTTCTACATCTCATACAGCTCTTCATTTCTCTTCATTTCTACATCTCATACAGCTCTTCATTTCTCTTCACTTCTACATCTCATACAGCTCTTCATTTCTCTTCACTTCTACATCTCATACAGCTCTTCATTTCTCTTCACTTCTACATCGCATATAGCTGTTCATTTCTCTTCTTCTACATCTCATACAGCTCTTCATTTCTCTTCACTTCTACATCTCATACAGCTCTTCATTTCTCTTCACTTCTACATCGCATATAGCTCTTCTTTTCTTTACATCTCATATACAGCTCCTCACTTCTACATCTCATAGAGCTATTCTCAACTCTTCCACATCTCATACAGCTCTTCATTTCTCTTCTACATCTCATACAGCTTCTCTTCTCTTCCACATCTCATACAGCTCTTAATTTCTCTTCTAAATCTCATACAGCTCTTCTCATTTTCTCTTCTCTTCCATATCTCATACAGCTCTTCTTTTCTCTTCCACATCTCATACAGCTTATTTTCTCTTCCACATCTCACACAGCTCTTCTCTCATTGTCTCTTCTCTTCCACATCTCATGCAGCTCTTCTCTTCTATATTTCATACAGCTTTTCTCTTCCACATCACGTATGCAACTCTTTTCTCTTTTCTTTTACATCTCATACAGCTCTTCTCCTTTACTTCCTTCACCTTTTTTCTACTATCCTTACTTATTCTTTCCTCTGTTCTTTTTTCAGTTTTCCTGCAACTTCTTCATCTATCTCTTCTCCATCCCTTCTCCACATCTTCTCCATCTCTTCTCTGTCAAATCATCCTCCTTCTGTTCTCTTCAGATATCTTGTCTTCTGTTCTTTTCTGCATCTCTTCCAAATCCTTCATCTCTTCCAAATCCTTCTCTTTGTTCAGCCATAGTTTTATGCAGGACTGGCTCTCTGACACTGTGTGTGTGCGCTCTTCACAGGTGTGTGTCAGGCAGCTGAAGTGAACTCCACTGTGTCGGTCAGCATTGCTGATATGCCGCAGCAGGTCAGTAACAGTGAGTTCCATACAGTCAC